CCGGGATCCGTGTGAGGGGGTCCACGGTTCTGCTGTTGTACCGGCCTCACTGTATCTCTCACATCGTCATTTGCTATATGTTGCACACCAGGATGGTCGTCCTGCTCTGATCTCCCCCAGATCGATCTGGGAGTCTGAACTGGCAGCAGTGGTATTTCTTTTGGTCGGCATACCATAAACGTTCCCCTTACGTGGAGAGTTTACGGTAAGTTTTTTCCTGTCTTGAGCATATATTTCTGATCTTTGGGTTCCTTTGTGCATAGTGTTCGGGGGCAAGTGGGCCAGGGACAAGTTGACCATGGGCAGCTTGTCCGCTTTGGACGAGAGGTTCAGGAGCTTTGGCTTCCTGTTATCCCCAGCCTGTATCAGCGAGAGTTCCCTCGTGCTTACGCCTCACGCCTTGTTGTGGATCCATGGTTTGAGATCTCTTCCTTTGGTTCTCTGTTAGTTCTTTGCCGTCCTGAACCGTATTGCCTCTCGCGCTCCAGGTTACATATCTCAGCTCACTTAAAGCACAAGAAGATCGTCCGCTCAACTTCATCTCCAAAGGTGTCGTTTATCCCCGTTTACCGACCCCTCTTCCTGGGCCGGGCCTTCCTTTACTCGCACGAGATCATTCGACGTGTCCTCTTCTTCAGACTCATGTTCTTCGGAGGTGAGGGACGTGATGCCCGATCTTACGCCTCTCAATCCGCTGGTGGTTTCTCTTAGTCCTGCCAACTTGCCATTCTCGATGTGGCATCAAATTTCCTCGGGGCTTGAGAGCTCTCTAGGGAGGTGTCCTTTACATGCTTTTACTGTTTCGGCGTAATATTTATAGCCGGGCGATGTCTTGAGCCCTTTTTTCCTTTTGTAGGGTCTCTGTGAGCTGATGCTGTTGAATCACGAGTTGTTGAAGGCCGAATGCTATAAGCGTGAGCTGTCGGATCGCGCCAGCGGTCTTCAGGTCGATTTGATGATGACCAGGCACCGACTCACCGAGGCTTAATCTTCTGCCCGCAGGGGAGAATTTAGGGAGGAGGTGATGCGTCTCAGGACCTAGCTGAACGATATCCACCACAACCTGCACGATCGGGACTACGAGATCGGGCTCTTTCGAGATACTATTGCGGTCTTCCAAGGTTTCACCAAAAATGGGGAGACTAGCGCCACAGTTACAGCCGTCAAGGCACTGACCAAAAGCCAGGACAAACTCACTCAACTTTGATGGGAACGGGATGCAGCATGGCGTCGCGATGGTCAGGGCAGGGGCGAGGCTGGACCCGCACCTCAAGATTATGGTGCCGATCCCTCGAATGCAGAGGGCGGCCTTTCTTGTCTGGTGTAACCCTAGCCACTGCACTTCCAGATACTCCTGGGCTTTGCTCTTTTTGATTTATTGTTTGCAACCTTTTTTGGATTTTTTTTACTCTGCAACTCTTTGGTGAATGACTCCAGCCATTTCAAGTCTTCGTCATGTTGATGCTTCTGCTGCTTACTTATGCCTTCATCTTTATGTTTTATTTGCGGACTTGTCTTTCTAGCCTGGGACCTTTGACTTGCACCTATAACAATCTTAATCAGACTTAACTCGTACTTCAAACGAACTGATTCTTTAGCACCAGAAATGCCCTCAATTAGCTTTTGGGAACTAACCGAATGCTCTCATATACTCTTAGCACGCTGTGGTTCTGGGGAGGGGGGCGAGAAGATAGATATCCGACTGAACCCCCGAGTTCTGTTTGCCCCTGCTGCCTGCTTTGTCTGCGGGAAGCATGCTTTCAGCCCCTACCCACGCACTCTTGTGGTGGCGAGGGTGCTGATTTGATCAATGTGTGCGTACATGGGTGCATGTGCTCTTGGTTAGATAGAGCCTCGGGTGCCATCGAGGATTGAATTCACCGTGAATGAGGTCTGCGAGATAAGCATCTTCGAGGCGTTCTATCCTTGGGGATCGTTGCCCCCGGGTCTGGTGATCCTACTTAGGTCCAGGAGCGGGGTTGGGGATCTCCTCCCCGATTTGCCACATCTTTTATTTTTCGTCGCGCGGTGCCTCAAGGTGACTTCTGGCGTCTTTATCCACTGCGACTCGGGGCTGCTTCCGTGGTTGGCTGTTCAGTAACACAATGACTACTTTCTTCGTGGGCTACATACCGGTCTTCCTCCCTCCTTATAGCGCAAACTGTTCGAGAGAAAATTTTGTGATGCTTATGGGAGGTATGTGACGCTTATGGGAGGTATGTGACCGGCTTGGTTTGTAGAGCTGTTTCTCCGAGTTTTGTCCTATGGGGAGATGAGATATAAGGCTCTGGGGCAAAAGTCTAACGGGTCCTGCATACATTGGAAAACGAGTGAGTCAGGCCTCTGGGTGGACTGAAATGGGGTTTCTCTCCTGAAGGTTCTCTGACGCTCAAGTTAATGCATGCTTTACTAGAAACAAGTACTCGTGAAGGGAGGTTTTAAGATTGTTAAAGATTGGATATCCCATGAGAGGATCGTGATATCTGTTTGGTGTTTAGTGGATGAGGGAACATAAGAGATGGACCTTGAAGAGAGTGAAGTGAGAGTTCTCTCTGCACGGGTATAGAAATAAGGAATAGAAAGTAAGGAGAATGCTTATCTTGGAAGGCATTTTTTTGGGGAACAATGAGCGTTTTCCTTCAGTCCGCTGCTGTGCGGGGCTCATGGCAAGCTCCAGCGAGGCAAAGGTCGGAGGTTTTCCTCTCCTCCTCCTTTGGGTACCTCTCTCTCTCTCTCTCTCTCTCTCTCTCTCTCTCTCTCTCTCTCTCTCTCTCTCTCTCTCCCTCTCTCTCTCTCTCCCTCTCTCTCTTGGATTTATCCTAAATCCGGCTCGCTTCAAATCCAGGATCCGCTTCTCCTTCGGATTTAGGCCTCCTTTCATACCCCTCTTCTTCGTCCTTTCCCATCCATACAGCACGCCACGGGAATAGGCGGCTCGGTACAGCATGTCTAACTCGGTAAGCATGCCACCTGTCTGGGAACAGTCCACTAGGAAATTGGTGGCATACATAGTTGAACAAGTTTAGTATTCTGACGAGGCCAAATAGCCATATGTCACCTCATGATTAGTTATGGTAAGAGTGAACTCAACACATATATCTATTTAATTTTTATTATATTAAATCCTCTATATATTAATTGAAAATTGTAGTTTAATGAAAATTGTTGATTTATTTTAATTTGATTGATTAATATGTTTAGTTTAAGCAATTTTAATGTGACATAGAAATGATGATGTGTGATGATGATGTAATTCTGACATGTCAGTTTTTAGTACACATGACTTGTGACATGATATCATTTAATATATAAATTAAATTTGATGTTAAAATTTTGATACAAAATTTAAGTGCTCAATGTTTAGACAAAATTTTTGGAAATTTTTATTTTTGTCAAATAGTTTTAAATTACATTTCGACATAAAAATTTTTGTTAGAGAAATTTACAGATTTCAAGTATTTAGCAGAAAATTTGTGGCAACCTATTTAGCCGGATTTTTTTTGATATCACATTTTTAACATAAAATTTATGGATTCACAATATTTGGCAAAAGTCACGAAATCAAATTAAAATACTCTAAAATATTTTTTTTTGGTGGAAAAATTATAATTTCATGTTTTTGGCAGAAAATTTATGTCGGGTTTTCACAGATTTATTTTTGAAATTATATTTTCTTTTTTAATTCAAAATATCCTTTTATCAATATATTTTATTTTCTTAATTTGTTTCAGCTTTTGTTTGATAAAATTTAAAATTAATATATTTACACATGTCTAAATATCATTAGAAATATATTATAGACAAGTTAAAAACTAATTGATATAATATTTTCACATGTGTCAAAATCTGATCAATATATTTCATACTTGTCTTAAGCATGTTAAAAATAACTTTGAAACATTTAGTTTTGTATGTTAAAAAATACAACTTTTTCTTACTTTTTTTATTTAATGAAATTTTATCATTGTTATCTATATATTTTCTTTTCTTAATTTGTTTTAGTTTTCCTTTTTTTTTAGAATTTATCACAAAGAGAAAAAGTTTCTCTTTTTTACTTTTGTAGAATTTATTAGATAGAAAAGTGTTTTTCTTTACTTTTATTTTTGATTTGTTTGAGTTTTTCTTTTTAATTTTATGACAAATATTAAATTTAATATATTTATTCATGTCTAAATTTAATTAAAAAGATATTTATAAAATCTAATTGGTATAATTGTTTTCTATATGTCAAAATCTGATCGATATATTTGACACATGTCTGAATTATATTACATAGTAATTTTGAAACATTTAGTTTTACATATTAAGAAATAAAAATTATTTTCTTATTTTTTATAATTTAATAAAATTATATCATTTTTATTTATTTTCTTAAGTTATTCTTGTTTTTTTTTATATTTTAGAATTTATTAGAAAAGAGAATTTTTGTCCTTTTTTACTTTATAGAATTTATTAGAAAGAAAGAAAGTTTTATCTTTCTTTTATTTATTTTCTTAATTGGTTTCTTTGATAAAATTTCAATTTAATATATGTACACATATCTATAGTTAATTAGAAAATATTTATTGACATGATAAAATCTAAATGATATTATTTTATATCATTTTTATTTATATATTTTATTTTCTTAATTTGTTATATTTTATTTATTTTTATTTTTAGAATTTAATTTATTAGAAATAGAGAAAGTTTTTCTTTTCCACTTTTTTGATAAAAATATGTCAGAATTAGTCTGTCAATACCAAAATAAAAAAGATCATTTAATGACAATTCTGGAAAAAAATATTTATTTCCCTTAAAAAAAGATATAGAAAACAGAAATACAAATAATCCCACTTGCTACTAATTTAGTAAATTACCCTATAATTGCATATAAAGCCGCGCCATTGGAAATTAGGAAATTCTTAAATCCCATTTGAAAACACATACCTTTCGTTCCGAAGGTTATACATATCATAGATTATAAAACGACTTTAAAATGCGTGAGTACATGCGAGATATATAAGCACACTTGATTATTACCTCCACATATATAAATACACATACATATATACACACATACATACATACACATGCTCTTCTCTTCCCTCTGTTGCTCGCGAGCTTTAGCCTTTGGTTTTTACGGGTAACTCTTTCCGCTTCTTCTCAAACTATTTGTATCTGAGAGAGAAAGAGATAAAAGAGAGAGATAGAGAGAGATAAGAGAGAGATCCAAACCAGAAGCAATCTTCTCCGTTTGCTTTTTTTTTGTTGTTTTATCTTCTCTTTCGTGTGAAGATTCGTATCTCTTTTCTCCGGCAAACTCACGGCGGCGGCTTGCGTCGTCGATCCACTCTTCTTCATCGCTTCTATGTACGTTTCATCTTCTTCGGAAGGAGCCGAGAAGTTCGCTTTTGTCCTTTGAAGAATGTGATCCGGTCTCTAACAAGGTTTGAATTTCCTCTCTTAGTTTTCCTCGCTCTCCTCTTATCTTTGATTATTCCTTCCGATTCTCGCCGCTAGATCTGGTTTCTCTTTGTTATCACAGAGGGAAGATTTTGAATTTTGAATTTCATTTCCTCCAACTTCGATTGGTTTTCAGGGTAGTGTGAAAGCGTGAAATCGTTTTGTATTTGTGTAATTCATATTTCCGGTGGAAAAAATCGAAAAAGAGATGAAGAGGGTTAGAGAAGAGGTTTACGTTGAAGCTCCGATACGAGGACCTACCGTTTCCTCTCGTGGAGAAACGTAAGCTCCTGTCAAATCCTAATTGGTGATTTTGTGCTGTTCCTTTTCAAATTTTGCTTTTATTTATGTACGGAAGTCAAAATTGCGAATTCGAATTTGCAGGATGATAGATTATTCTTAATTGCTTCTTCTTTTTTTTGAGGTCTAAAGTTGTTCTTGGGTTAATTACCTTATAGGCTTTAAAGCAAAGATACTGCAATTTAAAAGGGGGAAATTTAATTTGATATTTCTCGACCTTAAATGCCGAAAAGCAACTTTATTTAATGTTTTTTTTTTGCAAATTTGTAATGCAGAAATGGTAGGCCTCTAACGATTGGTGGAGGTGGAGGTGGAGGTGGAGGAGGAACCATGGGAGGGTTAACAACAGGTGATGCCCTGTCGTATCTCAAGGCTGTGAAGAATATGTTTCAAGACAAGAGAGAGAAGTATGAGACTTTCCTTGATGTCATGAAGGACTTTAAAGCTCAGAGGTAAAATGATGCCTTCTTCTCTTCTTACAACAGGAAGTGTGCTTAATGTCTTAATGTCTTGGTGTCTTGTGTTGGTTTGTAGAGTTGACACTAATGGAGTCATAGCGAGGGTAAAAGAGTTGTTCAAGGGCTATGACGACTTGCTTTTGGGTTTTAATACCTTTTTGCCCAGAGGGTACAAAATAACTCTCCCGGAGAAGAAGCCGGTGGATTTCGAAGAAGCTATCGAGTTTGTGAACAAGATCAAGGTATTGTATCTAATGTTGTGAATCATATTACCAATATAGTCATGATCTAAAGAGTTAAACGTTATTGCTGCAGTCACGATTTGGTGGTGATGACCGTGCGTATAAAAGGTTTCTAGACATCTTGAACATGTATAGAAAGGAAAGCAAGTCTATCACCGAGGTCTATCAAGAGGTGATTTACAGTGCATATTGCTGATTTACTGATTTGATAAAGCCTCATTTCTTGTGATTTATGTTCTTCTGATCATCATTTGTTGTACAGGTTACTCTGTTGTTCCAGGACCATGAAGATCTGCTTATGGAGTTTGTTCATTTCTTACCTGATACTTCAGGATCAGCTTCTACTCATTACCCTCTTTCAGGAAGGAATGTAGTACCGCGTGATAAAAACTGTCCTGCTTCTGCCATGCATCCAAGGCATTTTGAGAAGGTTTCTCTTATTTATCCTTTCTTAAATTTCGTTCACAATGTAGGTACTAGTGTTGCTAATTTCTTCTTGTGGTAGAAAGCCTGCATGCTTAGTTTGGAAAGTATTAGCATCCTTTAAGAGTGATAAATATAGGAATTTAAGACACAGTTTACAGCAAATGGATGACATAAACATTTTTTAGAAACTCGATGTTGATACAGACTCTTATCTGCCGCAGAGATTAAAAATACGGAGTAGGCATGATGAGTATCCTGAACACCCTGATGATCAACGAGAAGATGGTGACGAGAACCTTGTGGCTTGCTCTGCTGGTAATTCTCTGGGAAGTGAGTATCTGGATCACCTTTATCATTTTTTATTCATTTTTCTAGTATATCAATGGAAAACTAGTATATATCTGTGACACATATCGTCATCTTCAATGGATTGGTCAGTGTTTATCTTGGTGTTAAGGTCCAACTATGTTAATATTTTTCAGAATCACTTGTTAATCAAGGCCAATGGCCGGGGTGCCTGAAGGTAGAGGACAACGAGGGGATTCATGATTATGAAAACAACGGTGGTCATGAGAGATATCCAGAAGCTTTTGGCAGTCAGAAAAATCTTCTCTCTAACACCAACCATATGGCCAAGGCTATTAATGAACTGGATCTTATTGAGTGTGCACAATGCACACCAAGTTATCGTCTCCTGCCAGATGATGTGAGCGTCTCTTAAACCCTTAAATAAATCTATCTGTCATACTTTCAGTTTAGTGCAGCGTTTTGTGGTCTATGATGATCACATGGTTGACTTTTCTCCTGTGTAGTATCTCATTCAGACTCCAAGCTACAGAAACTCACTAGGTGAAAAGGTGCTTAACGATCATTGGGTATCTGTCACATCGGGGAGTGAGGATTACTCTTTCAAGCACATGCGTAAAAACCAGTATGAAGAAAGCTTGTTTCGATGTGAGGATGACAGGTGAGACGTATATAGTATATTAGGATTCTTCTGATAACATTTATGAGTTCATAATTGTTTCTAATTTGGTTGGGTCTTCCTTTCTGATTTCACTAAGTGGTCTGAAATATGTGTGGATATACGGTTTCAGGTTTGAGTTGGACATGTTATTAGAGTCTGTGAATGCAGCCATCAAGCGTGTGGAGGCTCTTCTGGAGAAGATAAACAACAACACAATCTCTATAGAGACACCGATTTGTATCAAAGAACACTTAACAGGCAAGTAGTAATCTGATCAAATCTGACGGTGATATATATATGTATGTTTATTATTATCTTACTTGGTCTAATGCCCTAATATATGACGATTTGATAGAGCTGAACCTAAGATGCATTGAGCGGTTATACGGTGATTATGGGCTTGACGTCATGGATTTTATGAAGAAGAACTCCCACGTCGCCTTACCGGTGATTCTGACTCGCTTGAAGCAGAAACAAGAAGAATGGGCTAGGTGTCGCTCTGATTTCAGGAAAGTGTGGGCTGAAGTATATGCTAAGAACCATCACAAATCTCTAGATCATCGTAGCTTTTATTTCAAGCAGCAGGACTCCAAAAATTTGAGCACAAAAGGTATGTTATCTTACAGCATTGACGAGTGAATCTTTTTAAGATTATCAACATAAACTAGGTTTGTTGAATTTGAACCTACATAGAAGAATGCATGAATATCCCATTTTTTTACATAGAGAGAGCGTAGTATATAAAGGGCTCATGATTGTTGAAGAAAAGACGATGAAACAAAGAGAAGTCTTGTTTCATTTTAAGTGCAAATTTGTGTTAAGTAAAGTTGTCTACTATGTCCCAAATGCAGGTTTAGTGGCGGAAATAAAAGATATCAGTGAGAGAAAGCATAAAGAAGACCCGCTTCATGCGATTGCTGTTGGATCTAGGCCTACTTTCACCCCAGATGTGGAGTTCATTTATTCTGATACACAAGTTCATACTGACTTATATCAACTAATCAAGTACTACTGCGAAGAAATTTGTGCTACTGAGCAGTCGGATAAAGTAATGAATCTGTGGGTAACGTTTCTGGAGCCCATGTTTGGCGTTCCTTCGAGGTCTCAAACTAATGAGACAATGGAGGATGTTGAGAAGTTAGAAGACAACCAAGAGCAGCATGATGCATGTGAGGCAGTGAAGGAGAACGCCTGTGATGGTTCTCTTGCTTCAGACCTTAAACAGTTAACACCTCCAAGAACACCTAACAAAGAAAACCAAACAATACGAGGAAGCTCTTTTGCGCAGGATTTGCCTGTCAACACACATGAAACCATTCAGCAAGATAAACTGAATGTTGTTGCAGCTATGACTAATGAGGTAACTAAGTATTTAAATGTTGGGAAAATGAATTAATGTTGCTTCCCTTTAAGTACCAATAAGGCATTCAAGAGTGTGACTAATCAAAAGTCTGTTTCATTACGAGACTTGAGAAAGATATTCCTCTATGTGGAAGAAAAAGATTTTTTTTCCTAATTTTTGTTTGTGTTTCTACAGGAAAGCCAGCCTTCTAAGCTGGTGTCACCCAGAAATGAGTTGATAAAAGAGGGTTTAGAGAATTGTAGTAAGGTTACTGACGTATCAAAGGTAGAGCGAGAAGAGGGTGAATTATCTCCCACCGAAAGTTTTGAGCAAGACAATTTTGAGGCTTATAGAGAGAACGGCCTTGCGCCCCTGCAGAAACTGTCTGACAGTGTTAGAAGTAACAAAGACCGAGAACTCAAAGAGGGAGGATGTTTAACTGAAGCTGGAGAAAGAAGCAAATCTCCCCCTGAAGATGATAGAAACAAAGTTACTCAAAAGTTTCCAGAAGCGAATGAGAATGCCTCCAAAGTTATTGCCTCAGGAAGCAAGTTTGGTGTCCAAGTTTCTTCCGATGAAGAGCATAAAGGAGCTATGAACTGTGACCGTCGTGATAGTGTGGTTGAGAGTGAAAACGAGGTTATAGGGATGATTACCAATGAGGGTGAAGATGGATCGTTTATCACATTTTCAGAACGGTATCTCAGGCCTGTAAAGCCCCTTGCGAAGCATGTTCCTGGGGCACTACAAGCTAGTGAAAGCGACTCCCGGAATGATTCTCGAGTCTTCTATGGGAATGATTCGTTTTATGTGCTTTTTCGGCTTCATCAAGTAAGCTCCACGATACAACCTTCTCAAGTTCCTCCAATGTCAATTGTCTTATTCTGTTGATGTCTTACAGATGTTGTACGAGAGAATACAATCTGCAAAGATACATTCAGAGAGGAAGTGGAAAGCTCCAGATCCAGATAACACATCTCCTGATTCTTACACCAGGTGGTTTTGTTTTCTAAGTAGTATTGGTCGTTTTAAGTTGAAACAATAGTACCTTCCTTACTGATATTTTGAATCGTAGGTTCCTGGATGCACTCTATAATTTACTTGACGGCTCTAGCGATAATACAAAGTTTGAAGATGAGTGCCGAGCTATTATTGGAGCACAATCATATGTTCTCTTCACATTGGACAAGCTGGTACAGAAGTTTGTCAAGCATGTAAGCTTCTTGTCGTGACTCTGCTTCTGTTCTCTCTCCTTTGTGTTTTGTTCTGTACTGATCATTGAAGTGGCTTGGACATGCTTCAGCTTCATGCGGTTGCAGCTGATGATACAGACACCAAGCTACTGCAACTGTATGCATATGAGAACTACAGAAAACCGGGAAGGTTCTTTGATATTGTGTACCATGAGAATGCCAGAGCCCTTCTCCATGATCAGAACATATACCGGATTGAATATGTAATGCTTCTCTCTTGATACTTGTGGACACATGTGTCTATGGTCTCACATACTAATCTCTCGCAAAATTTCTATGCAGGCATCTGCTCAAACCCGTCTCTCGATTCAGCTTATGAACAGTGGGAACGATCAGCCTGAAGTTACAGCTGTAACAGTGGAGCCAGGTTTTGCAAATTATTTGCAGAATGACTTTCTTACGCTTGTACCTGATGAAGAAAAGCCTGGATTGTTTCTCAAGAGGTGAGTGAAAAAAGCAATGATGAGATCATAACATTTTTACATCTTCAGTTAGTAATCATCTTAAAACATGCTCTCTTTCAGGAATAAGGCGAAATTAAGCGGTCCAGATGAATCTTCAGGGATGTCTCGTGCACTTGAAGGATTGATAATTATCAACGAGGTCGAATGTAAGATGGCTTGTAGTTCTTCCAAGGTAAAATAAAATCTATCCTCATGAGATACATATTCTGTTTCTTTAATGTGAATACGATTATTGAGAGTTTTGAAAATTTATTAGGTCAAGTACGAACCAAACACAGCAGATCTTCTGTATAGAAGCAAGAAGAAGAAACCTAAACAGAATCCAAATGAGATTGACAATGCTAAAACTTCTGGAAGCAGTGAAATCTCGAGAAAGAGAAGAATATCGCGTTTTCACATGAGTCTTAACCGAAGACTTGTTGCCTTGCCTTAATCGCATTATCAAGCTCGTAAGTAACCCACTTTCTTCTCTTAACCATGTTTTAATCACAACAGATTAGACTCAGTAATTTTCTAATTGTGTAGGTGTGAAGTTCTTGGCTGAGATATGCAAGCATCAGTTTAGTGGTAGAGACTAGAGAGACCAAACTGTGTTTGACAAGAGGATTCTTGCATCATTTGGGTCAAAGAGGTTCACAACCATACCATTTCTTTTCCTAAATTGCGTCTGGAGCCGCCAGTTTTGGTGTATAGTGTTAGATTATATATAATATCATATATGTAATGACAATGCTAAAATTGGAGATTTTCAATTCATTCATTCAAACAAATGTTTAATTTCCCTTCTAATTTTATGTGTCTCCTTCAGTTAAATCCTCTCATATTTTTCTTCATCTATTATATTGTTTTGCTTCCTATTATTTCTTTCTAAACGACTCTGCAAAATCTCTAATGAGATATTGTATAAAGCATAGTTATGGATGTTCTCTAAACGTTTTTCATCTACCATAAGAATCTATTTTGGGAAGGTGTGTATTTACAAGGTGAAAGAAATGGTAGATGCAGTAGTGAGTAGCAACTCACAAGGTGAAAGAGTACACTATAGAAGTAACAATAAACAGAAACCAAATGAAAAAAATGAGAGCAATGATTACTACCTTGGAAAAGGGAACAAACCAGCGTCTGTTGGAGAAGGAAGGCCACAGTTGTTACTGCAGTTCTCAGAAGTCAAATCCTTGTGATGATTGGGTGGAGAGTGAGAAGAAGAAGATATCAGCTGCAAATGGTTGAGGCTGAACCTGAAGATATCTTCTTATGACTTGGAATTAAAGCACCAAGTCAAATGCTTTGAAAAGCTTGACCACAGCTTGGACCAACAGATTGCTGAGCATGTCCTCTTTCTCGTCCCCTTTTAGCTTGTTCAGATTGATAAGTTCTCCTTCCTGGTCTCCTCTTTTTCGTACCCGATAAAAGTCCACAGCTTAGATCAAAACAGTGTTGTAGTAACAAACTTTTTGGTTAGAACCGTGTGAGGACATATGAAGACAAACACACGTTTATACGGTTAATTCAAGAATATACAATAAAAACCAAATAAAAAATATTGTTCGCTTTTAAAATGAATTAAAATTTAGTAAACCATATATTACATTTATACCAAAAACAAACCGTCAACTTTCACATAACATAAATATATTTTATCGAAAAAACAAAAACTGAACGTGCGAAGAAAAAAGTTTTTCGCCCTCAAGACAGATTATAAACTAGTTAAAACTGTTATAAAACAATAAAACTAAACCACGTGGAATGAAAATTGAATTATCTTCACTGGGTGCCTATTAGGACACAGTCTTGTCATTCACTGAAAGAGTGAAAGCAAAGGTTAACTACAAGAAAATAGGTATTAATAGCACTTTAAGATAGCAGTTTATATATATTTGCTATAGTTACTTTATATCAAGCCCGGCTTAAGACATATGGTAAGGTGCAAATGGACATGACCCAATAACTTTTAAAAAAATTTCTTTTACTAATTTAAGATCTTAAATTTAGAACTTTACAAATTAAGGTATAAATAAGTAAATCTTTTAATATAGCACATGGTCCAAATTCTTTTTGACCCATTTTGAGCCAGATCTGTTTATATCTAAACTAGGTATTTACCTGCGCTATGCTGCGAGATAATTTCTAAATTATATATATATATATATATATATTTAATATGATAGAGTAAGATATTTATATTTTTTAATCTGAATAAATATTGTATATCTTTGTTTTTTTTTTCAAAATAATAATTTGCTATGAAATTTGCTTAACTAAATAACTATAAATGTATATTAACGATCACCAAAGTTATACAAACAAAAATAAATATTGTTTACTTGACCTGAAAATATAGGGACTCGAACAAAAAAAGCTAAAAAATAGGAGTAAATATTAAATGTTAAATAATTTGGAGGCTTTTTATTATAAGTAAACATTTTAATATATATCAATTAAAATAAATTAGGGGCCAAAACAAATATTTCATTTGGCTATGTTCAGAACCGGCATTGCGTCTATCATATTTATAAAAAAATATAGGAATTATCACCATCAAATAAAACTAAAATATATATTTTTTAATACTAATATCAATATGTTTAATGCACTATTATGTATAATACCAACAGATGTCTCATAAAATTTAATCGAAGCTTATGGCAAATTTTTTTTTATCATGAATTTAAATTTCTTTAACCAAAACAGTGGAAATTTTTTTCAATCAGTGGCTACATACAGTATAGCAAAAACGATTATAAGATATAAAAAGAGATATTTTTAATTTTTTGGCTAACAAATTATTTCTTGATATAGCATCTGGAGAATGAGACATTTTTAAGGGTTTTCTATTCATTTACTTGTGAGAATAAAATAATATATTTTAAATACCTTCATACTAATGTCAAATCTAGTCTACTTTCTCTACCAAATTGTCACTTGAACATTCCTTATAACTACACAAAACAAAATGCCATTATTTTTTTTTTTTTTAATTGGTTTCTTGTACTGATATATATATATATATATATATATATTCAGAATCTGTGTTCCTAAACTACATCTTATTTATTCTGAAAAAAATTAGTAAAACATATTGTTAGATTTAGTTAAAATCTTACAATAAATGGATACAAATGGACGTATTTATGCAAGTCTTTCAAACTCCATTTATAATTTTCTTGTAAATGATTAGTGTTTGTTAAATCAAACTCTCTTTCTCACTTTGATCAAACATTTATGATAATTTTTATTATAAATTATTAGTGTTTGCTAAATCAAACTCTCTTTCTCTTTTTGATGGGATATTTTTCTAAATTCATTTACGCTGATATTTTTCTATGGTTCATAGAACTGATGAAATATAATCAAACAATTTAATCAATTTTGATAATTGCAAAACAATTACAAAACAAAGAGAATTCAGTGGACCATTTCATGGGTGTATTAGCTGTGGCTACTAAAAATCTTTATCCACCACTCTTATGGAGGATTTGGTCTAACTCCAAGTAATCTTAATTAGTTCTTCATACCTTGTGAAACTAACATCAACTGCATCATTTCAAACTCTAACTTCATGGCTTACTTGAAGTTATTTCTGCAACTAGGTTTCCTCACGTCTCATGCGTGGCCTTTCTTATTCTTCAAAAGTCAAGTGTCTTGATCACATCTCTTTCTTCTTCAAATGCCATATCTTTTGACATCTTCTTTAGCCTTTGTGTTTCATTGGGTGACTTTCCATTCACCATTACACAAAGATATAAAATTACTTTTTTTTTGCTTTGTTGTCGGTTCAACCAAAATGGTGATCCATAGCAATTTTTTTTTTATATATTTTTTATATTTATATTTAGACAATAATAATTAAAAACATAAGTTTGTCAAGTAATTTATATTTTTGTATATTTAATCCAAACTTTTATATTTGAATTTTTTACAATATTTGTGGCCTAATAAATATAATTTTCATAATATATGTAACCCAAAAATTAATTAAAAAGTTGGTGATCCCTAAACCATGGCCTAACCCACTGGGCCTATTACAAAGATACACTTTTTGTCAATTGCTTCAATATTGGCACTCTTCAGTTTTCTCTTACCTGCGAGCATTCTCCATGTCACCTTCGAGTTTCTTTTGGGATTTTTTTCGCACATTGCCTTGAAGTCTCATGACTTCTCCACGTCTCCTTTGATTATCTCTATGACCAGTTTCCATCTGATGATGTGCATCAATATTCTTCACGTTTTCTCCGGTTATTTGTGTAATCACTTCCCTTCTTGTGCCATGCGTCAATCTTCTTCTCCACATCTTCTTTGGTTATCTGGATAACCGGTTCCTATATTGTGCCTTGCTTGGTGTTTACCTTTGATCACCTGCCGATTTCACTTTGTTTTCCTTAGAACCATCACCTCGACATTAAGTTTGGTCTGTTCGAGTCAAACTATCACCTCGGCATTCTCTAATTGTGGTATGTTTGGTTTCTTCTTTAGTCACCACCATAGCCTTCTCTAGCTGTAGTATATTTGATTCCTTGAAACTTTTTTTCTTTTTCTTTCATGAGTACTCCTGCTCTGTTTCTCCGTGAGTTTCCCGACATTGATTGAAATCCATCTTGTGGTTCACATTCTCTGCTATGTCTTTGGTGAAGTATTTGCTGGTAAAGAGTGAGTGGTGATAGCCATGATTGGGGCAAATGCAATTGAGGTATTTCAAAGAAACCTAAGGAATATTTATGGGAATTTAGACAAAAAGAAGTAAAATCTTGAAGAAAATTTTGTTTTTCTTTTCAAGTGCCTCTGATATTTTCTTTCTCTCCGACATAAAGCCCTGAAATAACTAACATTGCAATTTTTTACTACCAAATTTCTCTTATCACCATATTTACCATTGCCTTTTCACAAAAACTATTTACATAAACTTCTAATACTATTATAAGACATAATAATAATCAAGAGTAAATTTGTCTAGAGTTTTTACAATCATTTGTAAAGTGTAAATTAAGAATAACGAATACACAAAATAATATAAGTTAAATAGTTGTGGTTTTTTCGTTGATAGAATCATCAATAATTTTTCAATCACATACACTTTCATCTTCCCTTCCTGATTTTTTAATACAAATTATATATTTTTGAGATGTAAAGAAAAGCAATCTTTACGTGAACCTACAAATTTTACTCATTAACTTATATTAAATAATTTTTATTTAAAGTGATATTGATGAGTTGGGTTCAAACTATTGTGGTCAAACACCAAATCGATGTTGGCACACAAACATCACTTTTAAAATTTTAATAAAATTTAAAAATTATTGTATGAGTTTAGTTTTTGATTTTATTATACTGATAATCTAAGGTATTACTATTTAGATTTTATTAAATTTAATTAAAAATTCTCTGTTGATAATTAAATTATATAGTGCACTGTTGACTCACACAAACCATGTTAGTTATTATGAAAACTAGGTGATGACCCGCGTGTACACGCATATTTACATTTGACCATATATTTTAATATTTATAAATAATATGATAATTTTAAAATTGAATATATTGATAATATATTATTAAATTTGTTATGTAAATATATAAATATGGTTTCAGTTAATCTACATACAAGCTTTTGACTAAACTATATGTAAGTTGGTGAATAAATTTTTATCGCTTTTATTTCAAAAATCTGATTTGCTTTAATTTTTTTTTAACCTACATAAGTATCGTCGGAATTTCTATGATTTTTTATTTTTATTATTTTATGTAGGTATTTTTTTTACAAAGTTTTTGTTAATACAGTGCTAATTTTTAATTTATTAGTTGTGAGAATTAGCATTGATTAAAAAAAACTACTACTATAAGTTAAATGAGAGTAAAAAAACTGTTGATTTTGATTTTTTGTTTTCTGATATGTTAAAGCTATATTAGAATTGTTTAATTGATTTCACAATTGATATTGTGTATATGTATAAGAAGTTTTGGATAAAAAAGTATGTACTAAATTTTAAAAAGATAGTTTAGTGCACATAATTTTTAATAAAAGAATAGATAAAAAATTTATAATCAAGACTTACATCATAGTTCTATCGAAAATGTGTTTATATTTAAAGCTTATGATGTTTAAATTTCAAAAGAGATTATCAAGTTTGTATGTTTAGTTTATCATAATACTTTATAAAAAGATATTTATATTATCGATAGATTTTGACAGTAAAATTGAGTATTGACTTTAATGAAATAACCAAATGAAATAACCAAAGAGAATTATATTTGTGATTTACAAAACCCGAATCCATCTATATACAGTAGGATCAATCAAATCCGGTACCAATACGGGCATATGATAAAATATCAACCATCCTCGAATAAATCTAATGGGATGAAGAGAAGTTAAGTCATCAGGAACAGATGAAGAAAAAAAACCAGTCTAATAGTTTCAGATCCATCTCTCTTTCTCCTTTTGCATCTGTTTCAGTGGTGTCTCCTTTAGAACTGCCTTGCGAGCATTGGTTAGCAGAACCCTGTGAGCTAAGCTAACCTTCCTCTGCTTCCTATAGACAACCTAACTTTCTCCATCCCGACATTAATGCCACCTCTTCTCAACGGTTGCTGTCTCGGGGAAGATTTCGTTTGCATTCTCTTCTGCATGCTTCGTCTCAGTATGCTGCTCAGCGTCTTCCCGTTGCTTTTGTGCAACTTCGGACTGACGCAGAGCACTTGGTTAGCACCGCTCTTTTGATCACGCGAGTTTGTAATAGCTTAGCATGCTGGCCTCAAAGGCGAAGTTGATGTGAATGGGAAGAATGGCATTAGGGCAAGAGCTGGAGGTGGTAGGATACATATTGGACAAACGGAGAATCTTCCTGTTTTCTTGGGTATTTGCAATCTCTCAGCCATTTCTGGATTGTTCTCCTTCTCAGTGAAGTCGTTGTGCTTGAAGCCACCGTTAGGTAAAGGAGGTAGGTCATAGATGGTGTTGCTCTCCGAGAGTGTTGATCGGGATAGATTCACCGTTTCTTTCGAAGTTGAGGTTTCGCTTGAGACCTTGTTGCTTCCCAACAGTATGTTTGCAAGTGGTGGCCTCTTTGATGTGTTGTTTTCATCTTCGTTCTGCTGTTTTATCTGCTGCTCAGCAATCTTGGTGTCTACGTGTTGACGAGCCAGCTTCCTCTCCACCAGTAGATGTGATTCAAGTTCTTTGATCTAGCAAAGAAATATGTGATTGGTTTTAGCAAGATGAAAAGTTTTATAACCCATCGTTGTTGTTCTTGTGGTTCTTATGGTAAGCATTGTTTACCTTGTCTTGAAGGGTTTTGTTCTTAGTGTCTCAAACTCGTTCCTTAATCTTTGCTTCTAAGCCGGACATCATTTCCTCCATTTTCCTCATCTGTTCGTCTTTTCCTTTCATGTGTTGCTTCCATTTCTCAACCTGATAAATAATTACTTTTTAAACTTGAACAATACATGAATAATTTGATAAACACATATGTGGAAGATGTAGCTTACCATTTGCTTGTATTTCAAGAGTTCAGTATTGTCTAGCTGCTTCTTTGCAAGTCCCAACTTTATCCCTCTTACTTTGCTAGCAAAATTCAGTGAGCATAGTGTCTCGCTTAGATCCTTCTCGGTAGGACTGATTTGTACGAACATGAGGGTCTTCGAATCTCCTCCTGTCACATACCAGTCATTTTTTTTTTCCAGAATTTCATAATAAAGTACATAAGAGAATAATTTAGTGAGATATATGTAAGCAAATAAATTTATTGCTCCGTTGAGAATAGAGTTAAGTACCTAGAGAATCCTGAAGTAAGTGCGTGAGCTTTGAATTTCTGCAAAGGTGAATGCAAAATAAAATCCAAGTTGGATTAAAAAAAATGGTGACTGTAACCTTCTTCACTAACTCAAGGAAAAATAGATGTTGCATTTCTACCTGAAAGGAATATGAGAGTTTTTGTTGGCAAAAGCGAATATGACATCACCAAGAGCAGATAGTGACTTGTTAATGTTTTAAGTCTCCTTGAGCCGTTCTCCTTGCACTTCTATTTTTGCAACCCGTTCGCTTCCTGCTAAATCCAATAACCATAGTTTTCTTTTTGTGCATTCTCCATTCAACAAATTTTTCCCTTTTACCATCACGCAGTGAATGATGTGCAAAGAAAAGAAAAAAATCTATATTTAGATAGCTGATCACCAAAAAGATTTTCGGAAAAAGGAGAGTTGAAATAAAAATCAGGTATACAGACCAGTGAGATCAGCTGCTGTGCTCATTCTTGTTGTAATTACCTATAGTACTGTAAAAACTGACAAAAAGAGCCCACGAAAGTATTCTCTGAGTTATTTGATCATGTACACATACACAACTTCTTCTTCATTAGTTTCACAGACCGAAAATAGAAAGTTCTTGAGAGTCTTATGGGTCAGCTCGGGTAAGTCGGCATATTTCACAGTAAAATGAATCAGGAAGAGGTGAATTTCCTCCCATATGCTTCTCCGGGATAATAACACAGCCAACATGCTACCAGACATGACACCTCGGATCCTCGTCCTGAAAATTACAAATCATAACTGAGACCAGGAGATATCACCAAGATTTTACTGTGCCATGAAACACCAAGAGCTACTGCTAACAAAACCTTGAGTTGAAAAATTTATTGTGTCACAGGCTAACCTCTATCATTGACTGCGTCTCCAGTGAGCTTCCACAAATACACCGAACTTTAGTTTTTGGCTTAAATAGTTTTCAGGCTCTCCCTTAACTCTCACATTAGAGCCAAAGCTTGACTTCATGATCTCATCAGAGCCAAAGCTTTAAACAGAAGATAGAGCAAACAGGGACGACGCGCGGAGTGTCTGGCGGAGGACAACACGGATCCAGCGGAGGATAAGCACGCCGGGGGCTTTAAAGCACGAAGGGTATGGGAAAGAGAAACAGCAGAGGAGAATTAAGAGCAAGTGACGATGGGCAGAGGGGTGATACATCTCGGAAGTGGGCCTTTGAATTGAAGGAATAGACCGAAGCCCAAGTTTATTGTTTCATAGTTTATTTACCGTTTTGACGTTATCTTCTATCTGGTGTATATATGATTTCGTTGTTCTTGTAAACATTATCGAAGATCAATCAAAAAGTATATTTTTTATCTTCTCTCTATCGTCTTCTTCTTCCTCTCTTCTTCTCTTCTTCTTCTTTTTCTTCTGATTCTCTTTTTCTTTCTTCTCAATCTTATCTCTATCACTCTTATTTCTCTTTGATAGATTTGGTATCTATCAATGGGTGCTTTCATTGGGAGCCTGTTTCGAGAGAAAATGACGAACGCTCCCACCGTTAGCGGCATTGAACCCAGATTTGCGTCGATTGAACTCGAGACGAGGGTCTCCAAGATGCCGGTTCAAGCTCTAACTATAGATCAACGCCTGGACAAGCAGGACAAGGAGATACTTTGGGTCCGTCAAGCGCTGGTTGACATGATGAGGAAGATTGATTACCTGATGAACAGAGCTTCGCCGATAGGGTTTGCAAGCCCTATCTCCGCCACTCCGACACAAGCCGCTCCCTTTACGCCGGAACAACATTCAGATCAAGACGAAAAGCCCACGCCACAGGAGAAATTCGTCGAGCATGTGGTGTGCGACTCAACTCGGAACGTGTCTCTCAAATCATGTATGGAACAAAGACGACAAGACAAAAGAGAGACATTAACGTTGATCCAATCTGACAATGGGGTTGAGCGATCCTTCTAGGTTATGGATAAACGACATGAACTTTCTCCACTGCAGCTAAGACATGATTGTGTAATTCTGCCTGCCTCAAGTAAAGATGATAGCGAAGAGAAACGCTCCACTTGTTCTGCTAGGGCTGAACGTGTATGGGAGCCTGGTGGGTTACCGATTAAGGCAGCTAGGTGTGATTGGCTAGATGAATACCAAGGTAAATGAGATATGTTGCAGTTTAAGCCAAAGATAAGTGGGGCGAATACAAAGACTTTATCTCCACTTGAAGAAGGTATGTTGAACGTGTCTCCATGGGTGAATAATGGCTGTCTTTCTGTGGTCATACCACTTCTGCTAGTACTTAAGATCAAATTCCAGAGTGATGATGTCCTATCTTTCGATGATGGAATATTGGTGATCAGAAGACTGTTGAGTTCAGGGGTGTATAATCGAGTTTGGGAACCAGGGGGAACATTTGACTCTGCTGATTGGTTAGAGAGTGTTCACAATGTTGATAGAGTCTTGAAGATCGTAGATGCAGGATATTTGGTATGTTCTGGTTCTGATATTAAAGTGTTGCTTGTGGAGCATTGCTTTGAGGAGCAAGAGAGTTGTAGTATTCATGTAAGTGTTGATGATACTATAGCTGTAACTTTTGATCCGGGAAGAGTTTTTCAAGAGAAAGGAATCAGTGAGGTGTTGTGGTTATTGGTATGCTTGAGTGCTCATAATAAAGGCTCGAAGGCAGGAGTAACTGTGAAGTTGCTAGACTGTTTGGATTTTATTAAGGCTCAGCTAATCTTATTAGAGAGAGCATCCTTCAGTCCATTTTCACGTTTCCTGGCTCAGTTTAATAAAAGGAGATCGAAGGTTAGAACAGAAATCGGTTCTATCAATTCACAATGGTATAAGATGCCGTTTAGGCTAGTCAGTGATCAAGCTTTAGATGTGCAAGAATTGTATGTCCATGACAGTGGTAGATTATGGTTTAAGGTCAGCCATGGGGATAGTGTTCTGAAGTTGGAAAAAGATGGTGATGAATTTCTGAGACTAACACAAAGGTTTCAAGGTTATAGGTATTGGAGGTTTGAAGTGGTGGTCATAGGGAATGTTATGAGCTTATTAGTCTGCCTTGGAGTTCATTATAGAAGCTTTGAAGTTGAATTAAAGCAAAAGTTGTTGTATACACTTCAATCTCTAGAGGTAATGAAGTTTTCAAAGTTTAAGAAGCTTTTGGGGACCGGTTGTTTTCTGCTAGCATCGCTCTTTGTTGAGATTGGGGGAGGCAATGCTTATGGTCATGAGCTATTGGCCGTGGTCAAAAAGAGGCATCGAAGTCATGTTCTGTTTTCATTCTCAAAATTGTTGCTGTTACACCTTGAGGACAAGGTGTGTCTCTTAGGGGCGAGTAATAGTATACATAGAAGGCTGATCTGTAACACAGAAGAGAAGAAACTAAGAGCTGATGAGAGTGATATTCAGGATGGAAAAGATAGCTTCTCGGAAGAGGTTGGAACCCTAATGTTAATAGTCTTGGCGTCGGAGTTATTGGTTAGGCAAAGTGAAGTAAAGAGAAAAGAAGCTAGAAGTGATGTTTTCAAAGGAGCGAATGTTGTGATGTCCGCAATGGAGCAGAGTGAGAACCCTTCGACATCAATCCTTACCTATAGGATATTCTCCTCTCCAAGACCACTAGAGCTATCATCCATCTCATGGAGTTTTTGCGAGCTTTAAATCAAGCTGAGAAGAACAGTTGCAGATCTACAGAATTAAGAGAGACAGAATTGGAAGCGGGTTCTACCTCAGGAAAGAAGATTCTGGGTTCTTCTTCAACTCTTGTTGATAAGTGGCTGAAACATCTAGTCTTTAAGAATGATGACGAAGGCGATTTTGTGATCAAGGTAGACTTATTTGACAAAGCATCAGAGTGCTACAAGGATGCTGGTGATCGAGTCAAGTGTGTCGAGTATACCACTTTTCAATTTGCGACTAGAGTTCTTATCTATGACTGGTTTCATTCATCGAGACCGCCAGAGCTATGGTGGAATAATGTGGGTTCACAATACTTTGGGGTAAGTGTGAGTGCTTGTCCAAATAGGAGACGATGCTATGATGATCACGTTCAAAGGAGAAGTTCTCCAACTGAAGATTCTCAGGTAACTGCGAACAATCCCCTTCTCTTCTATCTTGAGGAAAGATAGCTCTTCATGGAGGGGAGTATTGATACATCTCGGAAGTGGGCCTTTGAATTGAAGGAATAGACCGAAGCCCAGGTTTATTGTTTCATAGTTTATTTACCGTTTTACCATTGTCTTATATATTTAGGATTTCGTTGTTCTTGTAAACATTATCGAAGATCAATCAAAAAGCATATTGTCTATCTTCTCTCTATCGTCTTCTTCTTCCTCTCTTCTTCTCTTCTTCTTCTTCTATTTCTTCCGATTCTCTTCTTCTTTCTTCTCAATCTCATCTCTATCACTCTTATTTCTCTTTGATAGATTTGGTATCTATCAGAGGGTGATAGAAAGAGTGAGAAACCAAGGGGGCAGGAGAAACGGAGCCCATAGATCCGGCAGATCTGGAAGGTCCGGTGGCTCTGGAGGAATAGGGATGGTCGGTGACTTTGAGAAGGAGGTTCTCCGGTGGAAAGAGAGAGAAAGAGACGTGGTCGCTCAATCAGTTTTGACGGAGTGACGATGGATCAGAAGCTCAGTCCACAAGAGCAACATGGAGTTCATTGATTCAAGTGCCGGGAGAGAGAGGGAGGCCGAACAAAATCTTGTGGGAGAAGAGGATATTCCGAGACAGAGACTACCGGTGAACTTAGGTGAAGAGGCGCGCGACAGAGAACTCATTGTGTCAACGATAGGGATTCGATCTCGATGTTCTTCTCCATTCGCTATTTTTTTTTAATGATGTTGATTATATTCAACAAAAATGACAATTAAATTTTAGAGAAAACACTTCGATATATGATATTTTTTGTTTGACTGAAGAGATTTTTGAAGAAGTGAAAAAAAATTTAGAAAAAAAAAATTAAAGCTGAGATGTTATGGAAGGGGGTGTTTATATAATAGATTATTTGGACGGATTTGAAAAAAGAAAAACAAAGATTAGCATATCAATATTTATATGATGTATATTATTGTTTTGTTCTGATTGGTTGTTTGATTTTGATTAGTTGTCAACTTTTTGAAGATTGAAAAGCTGACGTGTCTATTCTAGTATAGATTTTACATAACATCTTTATAATTATAAATGCTATCATATGTTTCAAGGCAAAAATTAATTTGCTCACATTTAATTTTTAGTTTTTGTACTAGTTTATAATACTACATTAGGCAATAACCAGCATTTTGTACATGGTAAAATATTTATTATTTAATTAATATAATATATTTTTAATATTATATAACACAGTAGATCAACATTTTTTAATTTTTTTTTTATTTAAAATTGTGGTGTAATATTGATGATATAATTTTTTGAATTCATTTGTTTTTTTAGTGTAATTATATTGTTAAAAAGAACCATATTTAAAAATTAATTCATATGCATTTAACAAAGTCTGTTCA